TGTAATTAAATATTTAGTTCTTAGTATTATAAAGAAGCCTCTTATTATTAATTTAATAGTATCTTAGTAGTAGCTATATAAGTAGAAATCTTATATAAAGCTAGTTACTTAATTTAATATTATTATTACTAAGTAGTATCTTATATAGCCTTATTTAAGATTATAAAAGTCTAGTACTAGGTAATTACCTAGCGCTATATTTATAATTAACTTATAAGGCTAGTAGTAAATCTACCTCCTTATTTTACTAAGACTATATAATCTATAGTCTTATATTATTATAGCGTTAACTTAGGTTAAACGTACTTTATAAGTAGTATTTATAATCCTTTATAGAGCCTTAGCACCTAAGTAGCTAAGACGCTTATACTATATTATTATATTACTATAAAGTAGTTATTACTACGTTAGCGTTATATATTTATTTATTCTTTATAGGGTTAGTAGTAAATTATTAGTAAAATATATAGTAAAAGCGCTTTTACTTTCTTAGCTATTACTATATTACTTATAATATTTAAGCACTTATTAGTTACTTTATTCCTTAATATAGCTTATAAGGCTATAGTCTGTATGCCTTAGGTAATTATTACCTAGGCTTATATCTTACTATATACCTTATTAGCGTAGCCTTATAAAAGAAATAAGTAATATAGTAAATACGCTATAATATATTATATTATATATATAGAGCTTAGTTAGTAAGCTATTAGCGCCTTTTAGAATAATCTTTATAGTACTATATCTTTTAATTATAACTTAGGTAGTACTAGCCTAAATATAGTTACTAATTAGGGCTACTACTTATATAATAAACTATAATATATAGTTAAATATATAGTTAGTAGTGCCTAAATTAAGTAAGGCTAAATTACCTAGCTTATAGCCTTATAAAGTAGTATAAAAGGCTACCTTTATATAGTATTTACTATATAGTTAATATAACTTAGCCTTAATTCTTTATACTTATTTAGTAAGGTTAGAATTACTTACTATATACTTATTAATTTATTACTAACGTTATATATTTACTTATTAATTATTAGGCCTTTATAACTTATTTATAAAGTAATAAAGTTATAATAAATAGGGATTAAAGTATATAAAGTACTTTACCTTTTTACTTTTATTACTATTACTTCTAGTTAGGCTAAATACACTATAGCCTACTTAGCTATAATATAGTAATTTATTAGTAAGGGCTTTAACCCTCTCTAGTGCTATCTTATAAAGAGACTACTAGTTAAGATTATTCTAGTTACTTATTATTTTACTAGTTACTATATATAAATCTAGCTAAGAGCTAAGTAAACTACTTTATAAAGTAGTAATAAGGTTATTAAACTAGTTTAATAGCTATTAGTAGTTAAGTAAATTAACTTATACTAATTTACTATAAGCTCTATTCTATTTATTAAGCTATATAGTAAGATCTTTTTTAGTAGTTAAGGCCTTTTACTAGGCTTTTACTAACACTTTACTATATTTATTATAAGTGTACTTTATATACTCTTTTTTAGTTATTCTTACTACTATACTAAGCTTATTAAGCTATTTAGCTAGTAATTTATTAGATTTATAATATTTTTCTTAAAGATCTATAGATATAGTAGATTTAACTATATTAGCTATATTTTTAATATCTTTTTACTAAGTAGTATAACTATATACTTCCTTATAATAGAAGCTTATTTAGTTATTTAAGTATATAAGATTATATAGCTTAAAATTATCTAGTGTTATTATATATTTAGTTTTATATATAAGCCTATTAGGTATAGCTATAATAGCTTTACTTCTTACTATATATAGCTATATAGTTACTTACTAAGATATTTTAGTAATTACTATAGCTATAGTAACCTTTTAGTAAGTAGTAAGCTTATTCTTAGTTAAGGCGTATAGATATTACGTTATAAGCAGCTTTATTAGTTTCTTTAGATATATCTTAAGGATTAATTAGTCTACTGCTATAACCTTTAGGTTAATATACTCCTAGAGATTATAACGCTTTACTTTTACTTAGATAGTATTAAGCTATATAAACTAATTACTATATAATTATAAGATAGTTACCTTATTATTATAGTTCTTATTAATTATTATAATAGTATTTAATTAATAAATAAGTATATTAGTTATTATAAATATATATATTAGACTATTAATTATTAAATAGTAAGGATTATAATAGTTACTTAATTAACTTTATTATATATTCTATATCTATAGTAAATTACTATAGAAATAAGGAAAAACCCCTATTTCTTAGTTAGGAAATCCCTAGCTAATCCTAGTAATATTATTAGTAAAGTTACTATTAGAAGTGGGGCTAATTTACTGCCTATTCCCTAATAATTTGCTATAGGGCAACTGTGCATTCGCCGGCTAATTCACGTGTAATTCCGCCACATTTAACATAAGCAGGTATCTAAAGTGGCCCTTCCAAAAAGGCAAGTTAGCTCTTTACAGGCCTAGTTAGATAATATATAGTCACATAAGAGGAAAAAGGTCTAACTATCTCCTAACAGCACCTTTACTACTATAGAGGATATAATCTAGGCCCGAAGTCCGGATACTGGCAATATAGATAGTCCAGATGAATCCGGGGCATCCAAATTACCTAGCGAGGCCGAAAGTTACATATAGGTGGGCGGCAGAGAAGGTAAAATAAGTGGTGATAGTGGTGGTGATAATGGTGGTGAAAATGGTGTAAATGTGGGGGTGGTGCAAATGGGGGGTATTTGAGTTATCTGGTACCCACACGATAACTTCTTGCTTATGTACACTACTATCCTATATTGCTACTTCTAGATCCCTGTTTCTGCCAGCATACTATACCTGTCACAGCGGCCGCGATACTCCTTGCCGTTAGCCCGATAATTAGCTTTATCCGGATATAACCAGTGGATACAGTACTTCCCTCTGTAGATGGAGCCTGAGCCAACTATACGTGCGAGAAATAATGCGAATGGACAACGGATCTGCATCTCTTCCGGTGGCGGATTGGTTCGGAAGGGGAAAGCATGCGACTGATTGGCAAGCTGGCTGCAGCTATGATGACAATTATTGATGTCGTGTTGAACCCGTCAAGATGCGGCATTTGCTCCGCCGCCGAGGCCTACATCTCTGGCCAGTCAGAGCATAAGGAGCCCCTTGACATCAGTAGTCAGCCGCAGGATTTAGTAAAATGAGGGATGAAGAATGAGGAAATCCCTTCTTGCTTCTTGTAGCATTCAAGGTAGGCCAGGAGGGGAAGGCGTCCGTCAAATACTATCATCTCCACCTATCTACGTGCCGCACTGCTACGCGGACGCTCATGAGCTTACGAGTTCTGTTTGGGGATCCTGAACAGTGTTCGTGCTTACGCGGAACAGACGGGGGGCGGGTCGGGGCCTGTCAGCACCACCAACAGCATAAGCTTGCGATGCAGACGCTTGGGACTTGCGTATGGCATTTGTCGAACCAAGTGCCTTTCTTGGCTGATAAACACAGAGATATATTCAAGGTAACATTGTGATAAACAAGGAGAAATAAGCATCTGAAGAGCATATAAGGTAGCGTTGTTACAGACGAGCCCGGACAGGTTCCTCGAAGAGAGCCCCGTGACAAGAAACCTTGACGACGACAAAATGAAAGACGGGGCAGATCATCGTCAATATAGGTAATCGTACTGGCTCTAGGATTGGATGGAGAAGGAGCATGGCTTCTTCGCTAATCTCTCAGATGAATGCCGCGCTAGAGAACAGCAACAGCAACACCAGCACTAAGAAACATCAACACAAGGCCTGCAACAAGTGTCGGCACCGCAAAATCAAGTCTGACGGCTGAACGCCGTTCTGCAAACAGTGTGCGAGTAGAAGAGCTGCGTGGGGGTGCACATAATACTCCGATTCAGCGGCCAGTGGATGACCAAAACGCTATAAGCATCTACTACCGTCCAGCATCCACCATACATCACCTAGCAACAAGCCACCAATACCTATCCTCATGGGGTGCACTCTTTTGGAACTGACCAATAAGCAGCCTCCATCACCGCCGGGCCGGCCGAGATCTGTCCGCCTTTAGGGCGGGACAGCTCCGCACCCACCTTCCCGTCGGGCGACGATGCCCCGATGGCCTTTGATGCGGCCCTGGACTCGTCACTACTCAAAGTCAAAGACTAACACAGCCACCATCAAGTCGCCAACCCCTCTACTATCCCCTTTGACCAGCTACTGTAGGACGACAACAGCATGGACGATCTGTCTCAAGTTATGTGAGCCAGGGCCTCTCAATGGCCGGCCCGCCTGAGAAGTGAGGAGCTACAGAGGATATTCTGGGACACCGGCTGGCCGGCATCTGACTAAGTGTCGGCTATGAGCCCGCCCGCAGAAGTCTCACTCTCTGTGCCTCGGTTCTGCGGGGGCTTATTTTCCAGCCCCTCGGTTACAACACGACCTGCAAAGGCGCAGCGCCTAGCAAGATGAGGAACTCAACATCTTGAGTCGATCTAGGCAGGATTCAGTTCCGTTATTTCGTAGAATACAGACGGAAGACTAGATGGCGGCACCGCCCGACGTTAAAGGATGGGCTCCCAAGGTGATATCATAAATGATGCATGGATCTCTTACTATTCCCCCAGAAACACCGAACCGATCTATGGTCCGATGGCCATTATTCGTGTTCCCAAGTTCAAGCGGTCTCAAAATGGTTTAGGCCACTCGTCAACAACACAATTAGAAACATGATTGTCTAATTATACCATCATAAAAGCTAGGGAAGTACATACCTAAATGCCTATTCACATAGACAATCATATATAAAGAAGAAGAGGGGAGATCGTTAGAGAATTTATCATCTAATATTAAGCTATCACACTTTTCAAGAAGCACGCAAGAATATCTTTTCAGCTTCAAGACTGAAATTGAGGGCAATTTAATGTCACTCCGCCCCATCTGATTGTAATACCTAAACCAAATTCCATTAACCATCACACAAAACCGGCACAGCACTCAAGTATGTCTCGCTTCCTCTGGCGTGCGATCGTCGCCGCGCTGCCGGCCTTTAATGTCTCAAGCGACCCGACGACATGCAAGGTTCTCAACATGCAGTTCCCCAGGCGCGTCATCTCCCCCAACAACGCGGCATTATACGCCTCAACCCAATCGTCGTATTATAGCGGCCAAGAGCGTACCATGAAGCTCAACTGCATATTCATGCCCACCACAACCGCCAAAGTCAGCAAGTTAGTCAAGGCCATGATCCCACGACAGGCCCAGGACGCCCTTTTCGCCATCCGCAGCGGTAGCCACACCCTCTAGCCCCATTTTCTATGTATACCCAGGGCCTTCCAAATTGATTGGTCGTTCCAGAACCCACCTGCCAATGTCTACATGGAGCTCTTCAAGATCCAGGAACACTGTATTAGCGCCGTCGCCAATGTGGAGGGTATCTTCATGGAATTCCTGACGCAGCCGCAGTCCGTGGCCAACAGGACCAACCTATTTGGCCTCGAGGCGGGTAAGTCCGACTACGCCATAATGCTCTTGACGGTCGTATACGACAATAAGGCCGACGACGAGAAGGTCCGCGTGACCGTCCTCAAAGTGTCCGTGTTCGAAGAGGCCTTCTGCGCCGCCGCGGGTACCCCATTGACGTCGTCTACATCAACTACGTCGATAGTTCACAGGGTGTATACAAGAGCTGGGGTACTGAGATTGTTGCTAAGATGCAGGCTGTAAGCAAGAAGTATGACTCAGAGGAATTTTTTCAGAGGAGGGTTCCTGGTGGCTTCAAGGTATTTTAAGCTAGGCTATAGGCTTCTACTTAACATATCAGTGACCTGCGGGAGGTCTGAGGTCATGTGGGTAGGGGGGGTATCAGTGGTTGAATTCAGACTTTCTGCATGTCACTGTAGGCTATACAGTCACATGTAAAAAGTCTGGACGCACCCTACAATATATCAGCGGGCCCAGACTTTTTACACATGATTGTTAAGGTTCTACCTAGAACCAATATCCTGTATAATTACAATCTACCTAGGGTTATATGTTAGGCTGGCTGCTATAAAAACCTAACTGCAACCCTTACCTTTTCCTGCTGCAACCCCAGTATTTTCGCCCTCTCCTCACGGAGGAGGTTCTAGCAGAGCATCCTGGGCACTAAAACCCCCAGGTACTAGTAATAAGTTACAAGTGATACTATGTTATAACCTGTCTAGTATAACAGGACTAGGGGCGTCGCAACCGGCCATGCGCACCCGAATTGCCAGCTTGCTCCGCCATGAGGAGTCCAAGTAAACATCAGGCAAAGATTGGATGAACGCTTTGACTTCCGGGTGGGCTGATTGAGGCATAGCGGGACAAAGGCGACGATGTGTGAGAGTGAGAGAGAAAGGGAGCTGTGGCTGAAGGGGCCTTCTCGAAGCTTCTAGCGGGGCTGATGCAGTGTGATTGTTTCTGTATGGCGCGGCATAAATAAAGGGCTCAGGTAGCCTCTAATATGAACCAGTGGCGACGCTATCAACTGGCTGCCTAGCTTCCGTTCCTTAGGCGACAAAACAGACGAAGGCATAGCATCAATTCAACGTTGTCAATCAGTGTTCCCTACCCTAGGCGCTTAGTCACTTAATCTGTCAAGCCACAATAGGTGGGGCAAGGATATACACTTTCTCCCTCGACAAGCGGCTAAGGGTACAAGCAACTCGGCTCAACCACGGGACACCGACACACACCGTCGCAGCCATCTTTTGACGCTTGTTACTGAGGTCTCACATTCTAATTCTCTCGAGTCATTCCACAAAGCAAAGGGCTTATGTGGGAGCACAAGAGCAACGAAGTGAGGCAAATAGTGTTATTGCCAATCTGTAGTGGTGTGTGGTGGTGAGGAGGAAAATCCTCCTCTTGAGGCTATGGGCAGAGGCTGGATGAAGGTGAGGGGCCCAGGAGGTCATGTAACCTCCTAGCACACAGGCCCCCTTATAATACTCCCCCTTAGGCTCTGCTAACTTAATAAATATTATATATAGGGGCAAAATAACAGCCTAATCTTAAATCCTTTAAATCTAAGGAGTTTTTAAAGTATTTAATAACTTTAGTAATACGCTAGTAATTATCTTATTAGTCTAGTAATAATTAATTTATATACTAAAGTTTATATAATATTAATCTACTAATATATATCCTTTATAATAGCCTATATAGCTTTTTAATCTAACCTATTTACTATACTTAGTAACTATATAAAGTCTTTATGTTTAGTTAGTGCTAGTAGTTTAGTAAGACTATTAGTAGCTATCTTAGTGCCCTTAATAAGTTAGAAGGTAATATTTTTTTAGGTATAGACCTCTTATATTATTTATTTATATTAGATATTAATACTTTAGGTATATACCTTATTAAGGGGATTTATAATATTAACTATTATATTAGTACTATTAGTAAAAAAAATAGTTAGTATATTTATTAGTTAGCTAAGGAGCTACTTAGTATAGTAGTAAATCTACTTTATAGTAATAGTAGTAGGTATAAAGTTAATAAACTTTACTTTTATAAAGCTTAAAGTAATAAAGGTCTACTTCTTTAACTTCTAGGTAATTAGTAATTCTATAAAGTAGATAATATAACTACCTATAGAAACCTATAATAAGTAATTATTAGTAAAAAAAGTATTTACTATTATATAAAGGCTAACGTTAGTAAAGGGGTTAAGTCTACTAAATAAGATACTATAATAGGTAGTACCTTTAAGATAGTAAAAAAGATACTTAATAGTAGCTAAATAGGTAGATAATAGGCTAGTATTAGCCTAAGAGAGCTTACTAACTATAAAAGTAATATCTAGGTATATACTAGTAGCTAACTAGTTAAGGTAGCTAGTCTACTTAATATAGGTTTATTAGTTAGGTTTAGAACACTTATTTTTTACCTATATAGTAAATAACTTATAGTTAGTAGGTAATAAAGTCTGAATAGGTTAAAGATTACTATATCTAAAGTAATAAAGTATACTATTAGTATACTTATATTAGTTAATAAAGATCTTACTAGTAGTAAAGCGCTAGATCTAGAAGCTAAGAAACTAAGAAGCCTTACTAAGGTCCTTTAATAAGCAGACCTTAGTAAGTATATTATGTACCTTTTTAGTAGTCTCCTTATTAGTAGTAGCTACTATATTATTATTAATATATATTAAGGCGTAGGTATTAAGCTCCTTATTAATAAAGAGATAAATTTCTCCTTTAACTAGGTAGAAGCTAATTTTCTTTATTTTACTTTTAATAAGTATAAACTACTATAGTAGTGCCTTATAAAGGCTATAAAGAGCCTTATAAAGTAACTACACCTTATTATTATTAATAGCGTAACTAGTAGGTTAATAAACGTAAATATAAGTACTATTAAGTATAAGGGCAGTAAGAAAGGCAGTATTAAAGTTATGTATTTTATATACTAGTCTATATAAGGTAATAATAGTAAAAAAAAGGTATATAGTAGTAGTAGTAGCTATAGTAGTAGTAGTAGCTATAGTAGTATATACCTCTTATAAAGACTATTTACCTTACTTATAGTTACTATAGACTACCTATTAGGCCTTATATCTAATAATCTTATTTTTTATATTAGTTTTAATATTAAATACCTACTTACTAAAAAGAATCTTTATATTAAAAGGAGGATTAATAAGGGTATAGACCTCCTTATTAGTAAATTATTAGATCTTAGTATTATAAGCCTACTTCTAGTGTTACTAGTATAGGCCTTCTTTAGCCTTCTTAATAGTAAATAAAATATTATATCTAAGTAGTAGTATATATAATAAGGTAGTAGTAGTAAGTATACTAATAAAGTAATAATAGGTGTTATTATAAACCTAAATATCTATAGTAAGATAAGCCTTTTTATTATACTTTTAGATACTAGTAGTATTATAGTAGTAGCCTAGTAGCTTTATAGTGCTAGTATAGCGTAGTTAGCCCCCTTTAGTAACTAAAGTAGTAGCAGCCTTAGTAATAAGGTCTAGCTAATCTTTCTCTATAATAAAGGCTAGAAAGTTAGCCTCTTGTTACTTTATATTATAAAACTTATCTTTAGTAGTATCTATATTATTAGTCTGTTAAGTAAGGTATATAGTAAAAATAGGTTACTATTAATAATCCTCTAGAGGAGAAGTTATATAGTAGCTATTATTAATACACTTACTATTTAACTTACTACTATTAGATTAATTAATTTACTAGTTATAAGACTTTTTAGTAATAGGTTAATATAAGTTAGAGATATAGGCTAGATACTAGGTTATTAAATTAGGCTTATTAAATAGTATATTATAGTTAGTATTTACTAAGATAGCGACTTTATTAATAGGGTAAAGAATAGTCTTTTTAGGCTATTTATAAAAATAAATATTATAATAGTAAATAACTTACTTCTTACTTAGGATATAAACGTAGTAAATATAGCTATATAAAGAGCTATATCTAATAAGGTAACCCTTTATTATATATAGCTCTATCTTTATAGAACATAAGGGGCACTTACTACCCTTTTTATATATATATACTATATAGCTAAAGGTATAAAGGTATTTAATATAAGGTAGCTTATAATTAGTAATAAGGTTAAGCTTATAGGTAATAATCTTATAGGGGCTTATTTTACCTTTAGTAGATTAGGGCAAAAGGTTAAGGATTTACACTATAGTGTTAAGGGCATAATCCTAAAGCTTCTTTAGTAGGCTGTTATTAATTAGTAATATATAGGCAGCCTCTATAAATATATAACTAGCTTACTTAATTAATCTATTTATTAATAAGGTATATATAATTATAAGGTTAAGCCTTATACCTATAAAGTAAGGATTATAAAACACCTTCTTTAGCTTAGACGTATTATTAGAAACCTAGCTCTTAATAGTAAGGCTAGTTATATTAGTAAAAGTAGTATTAAAATTCTTAATAGTATTAAGTATAACCTTATAGTAATAAGCTTATAAGATTTAAAGCTAATAATAGCTACTATAATAGTTAAGAAAATAAAAAGTATATCTTATACTAGTTTTTAATAGTAGTTTAACCTTAATAAGGTTAAGATAAATCTCTTTACTTACTAAGGTAAGAGGTAGTAAATTATTATAGCTAATAAGCTCTATAGATTTAGCTAAGTAGTAGGCTTTATAGTAAAAAGTATTAATCTTAGCCTAAGTAAATTATATACCTACTTAATAGTAGGCCTTAATAACTTATAATAAATAGGTATAAATAAGTTAATAGTGTATTATCTTAAGGGTTAGTTAGTACTTACCTCTAACTACTAATAAAGTAAGGGTAGTTACTATAAGTATAGTTAGCCTATCTATAACATAAAGTATATAGATATTAGAAATCTATTTAATAGTAGCTAATTAGGCCTTAGATTTAGTGTTAATAATTATTAGAAGTAAGAATATCTCTAAGTATTCTTATACTTCTTTATCTTATATTTCCTCTATTATAGAGGTTATATATATATAAGATATATATATTTATAATCTACTTACTTAGTAGATTAATATATATATTGATTACGTAAGCATGTCTGATTACGTAATCAACCGAAGATTAGAGAAGGTACTAGAATGTCTAAGATCTCTCTAGATCCTACCTTCTACCTCTGTTGTTCCTATAAGGTTATTGTTTTAAGTTAGGGTTATTTACTTAAGGTTATTATGTTACGTAACTAAGGGTTAATTTATAAGCAGCTTACGTAAGTATAGAATATTCTAGTAAGCTGTATAGGTCTATATAAGGGCTAGAATTCTTCCTGTTTC